ACCTGCATGAGGCTGCCACAAGCCACGGCCAGGCCCAAGTCGGGACGGCCGTCCTAGAACGAGATTAGGTCTGATGACCTCGAAAGTAGTGTCCTCTGTATGTAATTCGACCAAGCGGAGTCGATTGCCGTGGAGAACGAGGCTTGAGTCGGCGATGTTTGGGGTGAAACAGGATGCGCCGCATCGTTTATCTTGAAAAATGTGGGGAGATTTTCTTTTTTTTTTCTTTTTCTTAATATGACACAACGAGTCCATCTCTATCATAGAAAAGAGTCAGAGACAGATTAACAATGGAATCATAGCGTCAGAGAAAACTACCTGTGTGTCTACGATTTCCCAAACAGCATATAGGGACATCTCCCCTGTGGGTAACAGGCTCAACAAATCAGTTTGGTAGCTGTCTTGTGTGTCTCATATATGTTATGTTGGGAAGGTGCAGACGAAAGGTGTTGGGCTGGTTGGGTACTGTTGGTTTTTTTTTTTCGTTTTTTTTTTCGTTCGGTTGGTCTCGCCGAAACGCTTTTAGAACCGGTCTCTGTTTTTCATACCGACGAACACTCGTTCTAGGACGCCATTCTCCAGCATTTACCGGAAGGCGCCACGGCCATCCTAGAACGAGATTAGGTCTGATGACCTCGAGAGTGGTGTCCTCTGTATGTAATTCGACCAAGCGGAGTCGATTGCTGTGGAGAACGAGGCTTGGGTCGGCGATGTNCGAACACTCGTTCTAGGACGCCATTCTCCAGCATTTACCGGAAGGCGCCACGGCCATCCTAGAACGAGATTAGGTCTGATGACCTCGAGAGTGGTGTCCTCTGTATGTAATTCGACCAAGCGGAGTCGATTGCTGTGGAGAACGAGGCTTGGGTCGGCGATGTTTAGGCCTTTGCTCCATCGGCCGTTTTGTTTGTATGACGGAGAATAAGAAGGTGAAAATACTTCGAATTAGTATGGAGAAAAAGTTTGTGTATCTAAATCGAAAATAAAACGGCCGATGGAGCAAAGGCCTAGCGATGTTTGGGGTGAAATAGGATGCGCCGCGTCGTTTATCTTGAAAAATATGGGGAGATTTTTTTTTTTTTCATTTTTCTTTTCGTTCGGTTGGTCTCGCCGAAACGTTTCTAGAACCGGTCTCTGTTTTTCATACCGACGAACACTCGTTCTAGGACGCCTTTCTCCGGCATTTACCGGAAGGTGCCCTGCGTGTGCAAAGCAGGGGTAGTAGACTATACCTCGTGTGCGTTTAATCCTTCCCGCGCCCCCCCCGCCTTGAATACGGGATCAAGGGGAAAATCTGGAGAGTGCTGAAGAAGATGACAGAGTGTACGAAAAGCGCGGTCATGTTAGAGGGAGAACTCTGTCTATAGATGGAAGTAGGAGATCGAGGAGATTGCAGTAGTGGACCAGTACACATACCTCGGAGTAGAGATGCAAAAGACTGCTCGTGGANAAACAACTGTCCAAATACGGGATCAAGGGGAAAATGTGGAGAGTGCTGAAGAAGATGACAGAGTGTACGAAAAGCGCGGTCATGTTAGAGGGAGAACTCTGTCTATAGATGGAAGTAGGAGATCGAGGAGATTGCAGTAGTGGACCAGTACACATACCTCGGAGTAGAGATGCAAAAGACTGCTCGTGGAATGCACACATGTCCAAGGTAGCGGAAAAGGGCAAAGCAGGAGCAGGGAAGCTGCACCCAATACTCGCAAACCGGCACCTCGATACACGCATCAAATTGACGGTTTTGAAGAGCGTAATCGTACCGCCGCTAGAGTACGCCGGAGAAGTATGGGAAGGAAATAAGAAGGTAGTGAAAGAACTCGAGGCGGCGCAGATGAAAGCAGCGAAAACCATCCTAGGATGCTCCAGGCGCACAAGTAATGCAGCCGTGAGGGCAGAATTGGGGATCCAATCCCTACGGTCGGGAAGAGACGCGAGGAAGCTGACATGAAAGTATCGCATGTGCGGGATGGGAGAGGAGAGGTTGCCGAGAATTGTATGGGAGGCGAAGTGGGCAAACAAAAAGAGGGGTAGACAACCCACGGAATGGGTCAAGGTTGTAGAGGACGTATGGAAGGGGCTCGACATCGACGAAGATGAAACGCTGGAAACGGAGGGTCTAAAGGGGTTCAAGGAGAAGACATCTGTCGCTTGTGCCGAGAGGGAAGAACTGAATCTAAGGAAAGAATCCAAGGATAAGGAGGGTCTAGAAGTGTACGGAATGTTGAAGGAAGGAATAGGGTTCAAGGACTACCTACATGGACCAATGGATGCAGGAACAAAGCTTAAGGTCAAATTCAGGACCGGGGACATGGGCCTTCGAGAACGTCGAAGAAGGCATAGGACGGTAGTCGACGAACACGACGAGTTCAAATGTGATTGCGGCTTCGAATGCGAAGACCGTGTTCATGTAGTCGCGGAATGTCCGTTGTACAAGAAGGAGAGGGAAGTGTACGTGACTGAGCTGGGAAAAATACAAGGTACGTGCAGAGAGATGTTTGAGGCATGCAATAGAGAGGAAAGGACGGTAGCTGTACGGCGGCATAGGAGGTGGGTTGAAAAGGCGGGAAGGGATATCGTTAGGATAGACAGACTAGGGAAGACATTTTTGAGCCACTTTTGGCAAAGTAGAAAGGAACGATTGGCCATCGGTGATCGGTCCTGTGGGAACAATGCTCTGTCCTCTCGAGGACGCGTGGTCAATGGTCTAACCGCTACGGTATGCAAAACATAAGAGTACGCCCCCCCCCTCCTCCCCCCCTTTCCCCTCCCACACCCACACATAGTTTGAGGCATTGCATAGTCAGGAGAATACGGTAGTTGTACTGGGGCATTGGAAGTGGACTGAAAAGGCGGGAAGTGATGTCGTTAGGATACATAGTCTACAGTAGGGAGAGACATCTTAAAGCCACCTTTGGTGCAGTAGGAAGGGACGATTGGCCATCATCGGTGATCGATCCTGTGCGAACAATGCTCCATCCTCTCGATCACTCGTGGTCAAAAGTAAAACCGCTGAGGCGTGCAAAACATAAGAAGAGTACGCCCCCCTCCCCATACACACATTCACACAAAGTTAACGGCCCAGACCGCCGATGAAAATCTTGAGTTTGAAACGGGATCGATTTTGGGACCCCGTCGTCCCCCTCAACTTGCCCGACGGACACAGCTGGTGAAGCCTATCTGCTATGTTGAAAGCCTCACTTGCACCACCCGTCCTGTTTCGAGAGCTCGAGGACTACGTGCCAACAATACTAGTGGTTTACTTTGAGGTGGGCGTATTGACCACATTTTCGCCCTGGGGTCGCAGTCGGTACGCCGCCAACATTCTTGTTCATCGATGAAAGCAAGAAAGCGAATGCCAGCCCGTTGCTGAAGGGTAAAAAATGTTTACGAATCAACTTATTTCCTCGGGGAATGATCTCGGGGGAGCTCCGGGAACGTAGTTTGGCGCCAGCAAGGAATAACGAGCACACCAACAAACCCGCGTGCTGTTCGGCGTGTGTGCGTGCGTGCGGCTGTTGATACGTATCTACATACCTACGAAGATGTCGGTCCTGTTTCGTTAGCGCATCAGGGGAAAAACAGCCAAAAACCGCAGAGGTTTCATTCGGTGTCATTCAAATTTGCCTTACATGGATGGCATACATTCGCCTCCGTGGCATATTCGCTGCGCTGGAGTGCGCCGTTTTCTCAGGGGGACCAGAGGAAGGCCTGCCCCCTTGTTGCGTGTTTACACTGTCTCTTCGTTCTTTCCAGCTTGATACTGTTGCTTAAGCTTCCGTGCCAACCAAAACAGAGTGACGTACCTTTCCCGATGTTCCTTCACGACAAAAGAACAATTCCCCAAGTCTCAAATTCCCCTCTCCATGTATACGAAGTTATTGCAGTAATAGCTGCTCACCATGTATGCCTGGTGAGAGGGTACCACGAGCCCGAATACACGAACGACCGGCCAACTTTTCTTTTTCAGTCAACGAAGTCCATCTTGAAACTACAACACAACCAAATGTATTTATTTGTGTAATTTTCACAGAATGCACATGAAACAAACAGGTACAGCAGTAGTCTATTGCTCAAGAAAACAAGGTCAATTCGACAAACGGCACACGAGATACGGCAAGAGTTGATTTGACTGCCCTGTCTACTCGTCGTCGTCGTCGTCGTCGTCGTCCTCCTCCTCCTCCTCCTCCTCTTCCTCCTCCTCCTCCTCCTCTTCTCCCTCCTCCTCCTCTTCTTCCTCCTCCCCCTCGCCGACTTCAATCTCGACGTCGATATCGACATCAATCTCTGCTCCTTCCTCATCTTCCTCCGCTTCCTCCTCCTCCTCCGAACCGGATCCGCCCATCATGGCCTTTCCGCCGAACTGGAGACCGCCTTTCTTCTTCGTCATCTTCACCTTGTAGTAGTCGCTGCAACGAACAGAAAAAAGCGTCGCACAGGGGGTTAGGCAGGTGTGATGGGTGCATATGGCCCAATGCCTTCAACTTTATTGTACACAATCGTCGTGGTCTTACGTAAACGCTGTGCCGTATAACGAGAGCACGGGCAAGGGCGTCGAAAACACAAAACATTATTCGGTTTGCCTCATTTCACCGTTTCTGAGGAAACGCTGTCGTAACGAAGGGGGGGCAGACGCCGTACATCCGAGCCAGCTAGCTGCGGTCTTAACAACCGCGACAGAACGGACACAACCATCCGCGCCCTCTCCCTTCAGCCTCATCGCTTACCCTGCGCCGACCAAGCCGAGGCCGGAGTTGATGCCCTTGTTCAAGCCTTTCACGAAAGCTGTGCCGGCCATGTCTCCGATCGACGACGGCTCTTCCTCCTTCTTCGGCTTCTTCGGCTTCTTAATCTTGGGCACCTTCAGGTCGCCTTCGGTGAAGCCCCCCACGTTGGTGAAGCTGCCCCCGTTCAGGCCGACGTATCTGCGGGCACACAGCCACAGAACAGAAAAAATAAACAGTTACCAATCAAGTTGTGTGGCAGTGTTCAACTTGAGCTTGGAACTGATCTTCATCTCGTCTGTGCTCTCTACACCACCTTGCAAAAGACAGAGAGAATCTCTTAGAGGACCAGCACGGTTGCCCGAGGCAAGCTGCTGCAATGCCAATGTTCAAGTTGAGCTTGGAAACTGCTCGGCATGCTTCCTACCGAATCGTATACAGACGAAACGAGATTCTCCTTCTTCAGGAGGGGAGGTGCCGCTGAAGGTGAACGAAACAAAACACACGCCCGAGAGAGAGCCGTGATTCAATTTTGTTCGGAATAACTATGACGGGTGTTGTTTGGGCACACCTCACAAGACAGTAATGACGCCGCCGCCGCCGCCGCCGCCGCCGCCGACACTTTGTTAATCGTACGGCGGCAACATGCTATTGCCCGCGGGTGTTTTGAAATTTCAACGGCGCAACGGGGACGACGCGCATTTACATTCATTTATCCAAATACTGGTCTCTTCCTAAACGCCTGCCCTCTTCTCTTGGGCTTGTGTTGAAATTTCGCGCAGCACGTGCGGTTGAGGCCAGCCGTCACTGGCTCTAGGTTGTGTTCTACGCAAGCTTGCAGGCAGAACGGAGGCACTGTTGAGTGAGTTGAGCCTGTCAGTTTCTGTTCGTTTCGTTCAGCGAGGGGAATGACAGACAGACAACAGTCTTGAGCGCGGAGGAAGGAAGACATGTACCGCGCGCTTACCCTTGAGGCCTCGGCTTTACGACCGGGCGCGTGGTCATGCGCTTCATCATGAAGTCCAGACCTTTGCCCAGCCTCGTCATCACCGGCGATCCCCCGGCCGCGGCCCCCGGCATGGCCATCATCGGCATGCGGGCGCCAGGTTGTTGACCTGTGAATGAAATAATACAAAGAAAAAAAAACTGTGAAGCAACACAACGAAACAAAAACGTCGGGACATCATCAAATATTGAAAGAGCTTATTCTATAACCGACGGGCATTGTGGCGCATTTGTTGTTAGTCCTGAACGATCGCTACCTCACAACAAGCAGCCCCTATTTCGACCACCGGCTGTCTCTGCCGGCAGGGCATATCGATCTTTATTTGTCGAAAGGAATCGCCCATCAGCTTGTCTGTTCGAGCTGTGACGGAGGGAGAAAGAGAGGTCAAAAGCACGCAATGCGTCATAGCAGGCTTTTCCCACAAAAAAACGAAGTCCTCGTCGGAAAATACACCACGCGGGGATGCACGTGCATAGACCGTTGACTTCTCCCAAGACGAGACGAGGAACAACGCAAAACAGTTTCCCCCACTATTCAGTCTCCAATTATTGGAGACCGCGAGCCATCCCCCCCCGACACGAGATGGTACAGGGAGTCGTCTTAGGTCTCAACAAAGTACCCTACGGGATAACACATCTCCAACAAAGCCGGTTAACGATAAGCTGGGGGGGGCCGGCGGAGTTGAAGGGAGCAAACAAACTTGTACCATTTCTGCCTACATACCTCGCTGTTGTCCCTGCATCATAGCTTGCTGCTGCGCCATCATGGCTTGCTGGATCTGGGGAGGGAGTTGGGTCCCGGGAGGCATGCCGAACATGGTGGGGTCGAAAGCGGCCGGCGCTGGTGCTGGTGCTGTCGCTGATGCAGGCACCGCCGCCGGCTGTTGTGCATCCGACGCCTCGGTACTGGGAGGGGAAGCGGGATGAATCGACCGAGTTTTAGGAATCGACCACGAGCTCTTGGTCGGACGAACGCACTTCTTCATCACATGTGGATGATGTTTAATGTAGGGATGTGGTGAAAAGTCGTCTTCAACGGCTTAAAATACGACGACAGCCGCGTCAACAACGGCAGAAAAATACGCACGAGAAATTACCACGATAACGAAAAAAGTACTTTCACAACAACTCTCGCTTTACTGCCCTTGTTCCTGTAGGTCAACACTGGTTCCGCTGATTTCTGATTGGCCGAAATTCCTTGGAAAGTGGGTGAAAGATATTTCTTCAGTAACTTTCCGTATTTTTCCTGTTGGTCAACATTGGTGCTTTGCTTGTTGTGGTTGTTATTGTCTTCACACGAGAAACTGTTCCGGTCTCTGCTCAGTACCGCCTACCCAACTGATGCAGACCCCTTCCGTGGCCACAGACCAACCACCCAACAATGGAACACACTTCTAGAGAAGCACCAAATACTGAGAAGGGGAATAAATATGGGCCCAGGAAAACAATCGAAACGCCACTACAGCTGCATTGTATACACACTTGTTTCCGACGAACGCACGCCGAGGCGGCAGGGGGGGAGGGGCGCCATTCTTCACGTCGCCAGCCCTCTCCCGCTGGCGTGCCTTGGGCCCTGAGGCCGCTGCTGCTGCGGCCTCTCTGGGGGCGTTGTTGTTGGCCTGGGCGAGCACCGGGCGGTCCCAAGAGGTGCTCTTGTCTGCGTGGTTGAGGTAGAAAGTCTTGCCGTCGGGAGCGGTGGCCTCGCTCCACCCTGGGTTGTGGGTTCGTTTCAGAACGTCAGAGAAACATGTGAAGAGACCGGGAGAAGGACACCATCGACATGAGACTGAGCTTCGACGTGTGCTCCTTTTTTTTGTGCTGGTAGTGTCGACGATGGGAAGTTTGCCGCCAGGAACAAGAAAGACGCCTGTTATATCACGCCTGAACCGGAAACGGCTAAATGAGTGTATGCCGATGTCGTGAGGACAGGAGTTGGTGGGAGCGCGATTCTTGCCGTTGTGCCCCCACCGCTCGATCCTTGTCGTAAAACTGGTTCGCGAATAGTTGTGTCGTACGACAGGTGCCGGCAAGCTCGCAAGGGGAGACATCAGGGCTCGGCTCGTCAAGGTTGTGCGCGCTAATACGCCATATACACTCTCGCGTCGTTACAGTAGGAGCTGGTACCTTGAGGTGTAAAATGTACTGTCACGCGATTGCTGGAAGCGCACGTAAGCTATACCCTTCTCTCCTTCCCCCTTCCGTATTTGCCTCTCTCCCTTTTCGCCTTCCCCACCGGTCCATCAATCGGTTGCATCATTTTCATTGCCAAAAAAAGAAGCAATCTAACAAACAAAACCAAAGACGAACGGTCAAAGTTGCGGCGGAATGAGAGGATTGCACTAGACTATATCGGATGGAGGGGGTGGTGATGAAGCGTTCGGGCAGGTAGGGCCGGCACACTGAAACACGTCGTTGGTTTGACAAGTATGTTGCTTACCAGGGGCAAGAGGCTGCTGCGTCTCGGCGCTGCCGCTAGCCTGCGCAGGCGACTTCTTCTCCCCTCCCCGTCCCCCGCCCTTGTCCATGCCACCAGTATCCCCGCCATTGGGTCCTTCGACAACCACGGGCCTGTCCCACGTGGTCGTCTTGTCGTTCTTGTTGCGGTAGTATACTTCCCCGGTCTTGGTGTAGGCCTTGCTCCAGCCTGCGGGACGACAGGGTAGGATCCATCCCGTATCGCACGCCACGGCGAGGGGGAAACGGACATCAACTCACCACCTCCCCAGAAGCCAGAGAGTGTTCCGCGGAACCGAACACTACGAGGCACTTGTTTCGCGGCGACTACAAACATCGCGGCAAGACAAGTGCCGACGACACGCCAACCAACGCGTTGTCGTTGTCTGTGGTAGAACATGGTCGTGGTGTACGGGACGGGCAGGTCTCGGAGGGACGCCCAATGAAAATGGATATTAGTCCTGTAAAATATGTCTTGTAGGGTGCTTGAGACAGCATTCTTGGCCTGTTTGGCCCCGGGTCCCACAATACTTGAAGAAGCAGACAAAACGCCATCGACAAGGTTTCACGACGTGTTCCCCTGTCGCTCTCTCTCGTCCCCCATTTACCCATAACATTCACGCCACAGAAAAATGGCAATTTACAAAAGTATCAACACACGAACAAGTTCTCGGTGATCCGACAAAGGGTCGAATTTCATACGAGGGGGCAGTGAGGTAGTCTTCCGGTGGGTAAAATCGGCACACGGTGATTTCGTCGTTGATTTATCAAGTAGCTTACCAGGGGGAAGAGGCTGCTCTTTCTCGGCGCTGCCGCTAGTCTGTGCAGGCGGCTTCGTCTCCCCTCCCCGTCCCCTGCTCTTGTTCTTGCCACCAGCATCCGCGCCATTGGGCTCCTCGACAAGGACGGGCCTGTCCCAGGTGGTGGTTTTGTCGTACTTATTGCGGTAGTAGACTTCCCCTGTCTTGGTGTAGGCCTTGCTCCAGCCTGCGGGACGACAGGGTAGGACCCATCCGTATCGCACGCCACGTGAGAGGGAAACGGAAAATCAACCCATAAACTCTCAGAAACCGGAGAGCATTCCTAGGAACCGAACACGATGAAGCACCTGTTTGCGACTACTAACGTCGCAGCAAGACAGGTGCAGATGACACCCCCAACAAAACGCTTTGACGTTGTCCATAGGACACGGTCGTGGTGCGAGGGACTGGGAAGCTTCGCGCTCCACGATAAAATGGATAAAGTTTACGTTTGTCCTATGGCAGACTACTTGGACGGTGCTTCAAACAGCGTTTTCGGTTCCCGCTGTTTGGCCCCGGACAACACAATACTTGAAGCGGATAATACTACATCGATAGGGTTTCATGACGTTCTCTGTTGCCTTTCTCTTGTCCCTCAACTTTCCATTAAAGGTACACGCCACAGAAAAGCGACAATCAACACACACAATTGACACAAGGACAAGTTCTCGGTGACCCGAAAGAGGGTCGCATTTCATCGGGGGAATGCTTAGTGTTCGGGTAGGTAAAATCGGCACACGGTGGTTTCGTCGTTGATTGACCAGGCACTGGATTCGTTGCTTACCAGGGGGAAGATGCTGTTCCTTCTTGGCGCTGCCGCTAGTCTGTGCAGGCGGCTTCGTCTCCCCTCCCCGTACCCTGCTCTTGTCCATGCCACCAGCATCCGCGCCATTCGGCTCTTCGACAAGCACTGGCCTGTCCCAGGTGGTGCTTTTGTCGTGCTTGTTGTGGTAGTAGATTTCCCCTGTCTTGGTATAGGCCTTGCTCCAGCCTGCAGGGTGGCGGGATGGGTTATCGCACGCCACGCAAGAGGGAAACGGACATCAACTCATCACCTCCCCAGAAACCGGAGAGCATTCGTAGGAACCGCCTGTGTGCGACTACTAACGTCGCAGCAAGACAGGTGCAGATAACACCCCCAACAAAACGCTTTGACGTTGTCCTCGAGAGGACATGGTCGTGGTGCGAGGGAGGGGGAAGCTTCGCACCCCATGAGAAAATGGGTACTGTTTGTCCTGTGCCAGAGTACTTGGAGGGTGCTTCAAACAGCGTTTTCGGTTCCCGCTGTTTGGCCCCGGAAAGCACAGTACTTGAAGAAGCGGTTAAAACACATCGACAGGGTTTCACGTGCTCTGCTGCCTTTCTCTTGTCTCTCACCTTTTCATGAAAGGTGCACGCCACAGGAAAGCAACAATCCACAAACCAAATCAACACACGAACAAGTCCTCGGTGATCCGACAGAGGGTCGAATTTCATACGACAGAATACTGAGGAGGTGTTCGGGTAGGTAGAATCGGCACACAGCAGTTCCGTCGTTGATCGACCACGCATGGACTCATAGCTTACCAGGGGGAAGAGGCTGCTCCTTCTCGGCGCTGCCGCTAGTCTGCGCAAGCCACTTCTTCTCCCTTCCCCGTACCCTGCTCTTGTCCATGCCACCAGCATCCACGCCATTCGGCTCCTCGACAAGCACTGGCCTGTCACCGGCGGTGGTTTTGTCGTGCTTGTTGCGGTGGTAGCCTTCCCCCGTCTTAGTGTAGGCCTTGCTCCCGCCTGCGGGGTGACAGGGTAGGAACCATCCCGTATTGCAAGCCACGCGAGAGAGAAAACGGAAATCAACCCATCAATTCTGCAGAACCGGGGAGCAGTCCTCGGGACCGAAACATGTTTTTCACCTCGTCCCATTTCCGAGAGCCCTAACCGCGTGTCATCTACCCCGCAAAACATCCACAAACCCACCGCTTGGTTCTCGCGTCACCCTTTGACGGTGCTACGTTCAGTGTACTACCACAGCAGGGGGCCAGCAAACCACCCATGAACCATGTGGTGTGAACCATCACCAACATGCAACTACTGCGCCCTCCCCCTACTTTTCAACTCTTGTTGCCGTTTCTGTCGCACCATGGTGGAGGGGCGAGGTTTGTGCCCCGTCGTCGACGTTGGTCATGCTTGTGGAGGGTCGGGTCTTAGACCGATTGCGCCTATCCCTATCCCTGTTCCTGCCGACGCCGTCGGCGCTCCCCCTGCTGCTGCTGCCGACCGAACCGTGGTTGGGACCCTCGGCGGAACTCGGCGGGTCCCAGGTGTTTAGGTTCTGTCTTTCGTTGCGGTAGTAGAGTCTGCCCGTCTTGGTGTACGCCCGCCTCCAACCTGTGCCGGAGAATCGACCGACGACGCGCGAAGGCAACGTTGGCGGAACAAACATTAAAACAAGCCCCTTTTCACGTGTTGGTGTTCAGAGAGAGACAGGCTAGGGAGTGAGTGAGGAGCCGAATGGAAGGAGCTGGTGGACTTTTTTCATCGATTGCACAAGCAAAGTTCGGTGATCGACCTTGTCGTGCGTCGTGTGTGCCCGCGCGCGTGTGTGTCTAACCCCGTTCTCGTTGAGCGACCTTGGTTCGCATAATTACTGGCTACAATTACAGCAGGGGAAAAGGATGGTTTCACGCGTCATCCAATGTGCTTGGGTCTTGTTGTGGTCAAACTTCAGCACAAACACACGCAGGGAGGCGCCAAATTCCAACACAGCTGATCATATTCATATGAAGACAAAAAAAAACGTCTTTCCCACGATGGAAATTATTGTCGCTTGACTGCACACGGATGGTCCATCGCTACAAGTCACCATTCTTTCACCTGCCCAACACAGAAACTTGTTTTGGGTTGTTCAACAGGGCTCTGGGTTGTGTCTTTTGCTGATCTTGCATGCTACTGATCCTTTTGCGCCACCATCGCTCCCGGTCGAAATTTGCAAGAACTTCACGAACAACTTCTTGCTATTGTGAGCGCGAGCGGCAACGTTCCCTTGTCCCACCGTCCAGATTTACCGAAAGCACACCCACAATAATCTTGCATTGTTGAGCGCGCGGCGGCAAGTCTCACCGTCAGGGAGGGTTGAGGCCACTGCCCTCTCACCCTCACTCTTATCCTTCGCGTGGCTGCGGTTACTCTTGGTGACGCTGTCGCTCTTGGTGGTGTTGCTGCTGCCGTTTCTGCTGGTGCTGCCTCCGCGGCGTGAGGACGAGGATAACTCCTTCCTCCCGTCACGAATCCCCCGGCCACTGTCGACGGTGTTGTCGTTACCTTCGTCCTCGTTCTTGCGGCTGCCGCGGCCGCCGTCGCTCCCGCTGCATTCGTAAACGTCCGAGCTGCGGCTGGTCCTCCTCCTTCTGCTGCTGCAGCTGGCATCCGCGTCCCGGTCCCTGCCTCCGCTGCTGCAGCTGGCGGTGGAGGAATTGCTGCTGCGTGTCGACGGCCGCTGGCCTAAGAAGAAAAAGGAACGGCGTGTACCGACAACGACAGTTGCGGCCTCGCTTGGTACCGACCTGCTCGCTCACGGGTCACGGATCATTTGCCTCTGTCGTCGCCTTTCCGAAAATTCCACTTTGCTTGCCAATTGCCAACGCTCATCAGGAACAACACTTCCACAGGGCGCGTGATGCGCTCCACTCACTCTTCGAAGGCTCCCACCCTCACGGCCCCCCAGGAAAACAGAAACACCGACACAAAGACCGGGACGTGTGCACAGGCACATATTTCCGCGGCAGATGCAAGGGTGGGCAGTACCTACAACTGTCGACCACGCGAGGTGCTTTCAACAGCGCCGCAGCGGGAAGCACGATGTGTCTTTTCTTTGTGTGAGACCAAAGATCGAAATGACGTGAGATGGCAACAACAAAGACCAACGAAACAAGGTTTCGTGTCATGGAAAAGGCCAGAGGGTGGTGTGGACAAAAGGCACGCAGTCCATTTTTCGCCGCTTACCGTCAGGGACATCCTCGCGCTGCGCGCGGCTGGTCGAGGAGCTCTTCCTGCCGCGCCTGTCCACCGATCCCGCGGGCCTTCCCGCTGGGGCCGCGCTTGGCTCCACGCTGTTGCGGCTGAGGGCATCGTTGCTGCCCGAGGACGGTCGCGCTTGCTGCGACTGCTGTTGTTGTCTTTGTTTCGTGTCGAAGCCGCCCTCTGGCTCGCGGCAGGAAGAAGAGGCCTCCCTAGCGGGCCCGTCCACCTTTGTCACGTACCTCTCCACGGGCACCGCGCTTGGCTCCACCACCACGCTGTGGCCGTTGGAACGGCCGCGGGTGCTTGGCTTTGGCTGCTTCGGTTTCTCCCATTGCGTTTCCTACGAGAGAGAGAGGGGGAGGGCGAGAGAAAGAGAGAGAGAGAGAGAGAGAAAGTGAGTGAGTGGCGGTAATGCGAGTGTTGCCTTAGTTAGCATCGGCGGATCAAACAGACAATTGCCTCCCCCCCCGCACCATCAGCCCCCCAATCTAGATTTCAGTGGGTTGGCGCTGTTGGCAAAGCGCTGTAAAACACGTCACCCCAAATATAGCCCCCATAGTATGCGCTACCAAAGACGCGTGACGCATGGATGCGTGGAGTGAGGATTGCTTACGGAAACCTCACAGGTTGAGTGATGTAGGAGATTGCCGCACACATAGACGGGTTGCGTGGGGATAGCTGCTGGAACCCCACGGGTTAAGTGATGTTGGAGTGCCGGACACATAGACGCGTTGAATGAGGATAGACACATATTGAACCTCACAGGCGGTTGTTTGTATTGGAGATTGCGAGACACCTAGACGTGTTGAGTGAGGATAGCTGCATACTGAAACCTCACAGATGCATTGGTTTTTGCCAGACACATAGACGCGCTGAGTGGGGATAGCTGCATATTGAAACCTCACAGATGGATTGGTTTTTGAGTTTGCCAGACACATAGACGCTCTGAGTGGGGATAGCTACATACTGAAACCTCACAGATGGATTGGTTCTTGAGGTTGCCAGA